CATTTCCATGTGGGCGTATAAAAATTGAACACAGCAGAAAGTCTGTGGATTCATAGACTTGAATAAGTTTGGCCTAACGGTTTAAATGAGTTAAATCCAGGGGGTTTCAAAATCATTCATAATCATGCATAATTTTACCTAAGTTTTAGTTAAGCTAACCTTTCATGTTGTATCTAAGTCTATGACATCATCATTCCCATGATGTCATAACTTCCTATGATGTCATAACTGACTTCCAGTCATTTTGTATTTACTTCTTCATCCCTGAAGAAGTTAGTATTTTTACTGACGAAACGTTGGATAAAATGATGGTTTTTTGATATTGTATTCTATTAATATTTTGTGTCAACTTATCTGAATATCAAATGCATCATTTTGACTTTCTATTGATTGGAAGTTTCACATGAAAATGTGGGCGTATAAAAATAGTAACAAAGAATTTTGTTTACTGGGTTTTGGGTGTTTTTTTGTTCTTGGGGTTTTAATTTGGAGCATCATCTAATTGCCTAAACTAAACTGCCTTATAATAAAATACACGGTTGGGCCACAGATATATAATCCCATGCTATGAAAAGAAATTGAATGACAATTGTTTTTGTGAATGATAGTATATTAAAATTATGTGATCCGGGCCATTATCATTATTCCAAATATATCTATATGTCACAATGTATTTAACAACTTATTTTGGGTCCTAACTACATATTAATCACCAAAAAAATACCAATTTTATTTACTATGTTCCAAACTTGTCCCAAAAGCATATAACATGTCTCTCTCGGCTATTATTCTAGATATATTTAATTGACGTGTATACAATCTCCCTGATAATGTCTGTCTAAAAATTGTTAACACTATTCGTCACATGCATTTTGCATACCGATAGTCCATTGGCCAATCACGTTATTTTACCGAGATTTCGCCTAATAGTTTGGATGCAGCCAGGCAGGGTAGGCTTACTCTTCCGGACACCTGTTACCACTGTTTGTCGTGTATTTTGTACACGGTGAACAGTCCATATGCTGATTACACTATTTTGCCTTATTACACTATTTTGCCTATACCGTTTTTTTTAGGACTTCAAATTTTGTCTAATGGTTTGGATTGTTCGTACTGACGACAACAAAAGTCATATTTTCACAGTTATGCCTGTATGGATTTTCTTTAAATTTGGCATGAACAATGCTAATTGCAAGTCCGAAAAATCTACTGGACAATTTTTGGCTAAAGGCTGTGGTTCGTCTGGTATCCATGGAAACGCAAAAAACAATGATTTTTCTTGGAAATTCTATCATGAAAAAGGAGATATCGATAATCACACCAGTAGATGGGAAGTAGAGGTTATAAGCTACATTTCAACACCAAAAACGTGAAACATCAAGTGAAAGTATTTTAACTCTTAACTGACCTATGGTGACTTTTGTTGACGCTTATAACGTTACCGTTAAATACCCATGGCGACTTTTGTCGCCAAAACCAGTTAGCCGAATGCAACATTTCTAGCATAATGAGAGTTACTTCCCTTATGAACAGACAACTTTTTCTCGTTTGTTTACTTCCTGTTTGACATTTTGACAGTGAAAAATCTTACTATTTCTTTGTAAAAGATAGGTTGCCAGGCAACGAAACATACGCCCACAGCAGCTAAATCGCATATTTTTACTTTTTTCGGTATTGAAACATATATAATACACTCAAATCTGATTAAGAGTAACAACTCATGAAGTAATTATCAGAAAACCATTAGAATTTGTTTAGTTTTTATAAAGTTCTGCTCCATGCTAAACGCTTAGTATACAAAACTTTTAATATCATGGATTTAGCTGTTCAAGTCATAAAAATTTACTTGTTCGTATCAAGATCTTAAACTCTAGAGCATCAATATGATTCTTCATCTCATGGCCTCAAACACTGTGTATAAATATTAACTTTAGCCTCTAGAGCGTCGACAATATTTTTCAAAGTGATCAAGGGCCATAACTCTGGCAGTAATTATCGGAAATTGATGAAAATCAATAGGCTTCTTCGTCTCATGACCTTAAACACTGTGTATAAATTGAAAGTCAATCGGATATTTTGGCCTCTAGAGCATCCACAAGATTTTTCAAAGTGATCAAGGGCCATAACTCTGGCAGCAAATATTGGAAATCGCTGAAAATCAATAGGCTTCTTCGTCTCATGACCTTAAACACTGTGTATAAATTTAAAGTCAATCGAATATTAACTTTCGCTTCTAGAGCGTCCACAAGATTTTTCAGAGTGATCAAGGCGGAGAAAAGGAGAAAAATATCAAAGTTCATACTTTCACATAAACATGACCCTGGATGGTTCTTACTACCATGCGATTTTCGTCGAAATCTATGTGACCCCACATTTCGAAATTTGAGCGTAAAAATGTGAAATTTTTGAAAAATTTTCAATTTTCAGGTGCGAAAATTTCTGCGAACCCGGGGCCGAAGAACCTAATTTTTTTGTTTGGCCATAAGACCTGTCCAAGAGCTCCAGAATATCCAGAGATGACATTAGCCGCACTCGCAGTTTGGTTGTGAGCGCGTCGCAAAGTTTCGATTTTCAGTCGTTTTTATACCAAATTCAGTACAAGTTAGAGACCCAGGGTTTAGGCGTAGGTCAAAAATAATGCCAGATTCGGAAAATTTGGCCCGAGTTCCATTCGAAAAGCAAGTTAAAATAAGTCTATTGGCTTTTGAACCTGCCTAATTCGTTGCTTGAACTTAGCCAATTTGCGGTTGGATGTGACTCAATTTTCTGACATAGAACTCTTCTGGGCGCCATAACTTCGCGAAAAATTATTCGACTGGCCTGTAATTTGGCATATGGTCATCTCAATGGATCCATAACAAAATATAAAAAAATTGGAAAAATCCGCAGGGGTCTGGTTAAAAGCTTGCATCAGTTGATATGGAATGACCCTTATATGGTAAGTGAGTTTCGTGCGATAATCGAGATCGCGGGAAAATGCCACTGTAGATGTGAATTTATATAGCGTGTCTTAAAAAAAGGAGTTCCATTACAGAAAATAAGTTAAAGGTTTAATAGCTAACAATAAACAGAGGTTTTGAAATTTATAATGACTGTCCATTGATTTGGGATGTTATATACTATTAGGATAATATGTGACATCAATGACTAGTTTCTACGTGCTTTCGGTTGATATGATTGTATGAGATTAAATTGTCCGGCAATGGAGAAACCACCGAGGTAATCACGTAGATAAGGTTGATACTCACACTTATTGGATTGATAAATAGTCCGACAAAAGAGAAGCAACAACTAGGTGACCATTATAATATGGTAGGGCGAGACCCGGACTATGATCACCAACCAAACCTCAGTTCGCCATTGTTTGATTAACGGCTATAGCAATGCTACAAAAATGGTCAAAATTTGACCGGAAAATGACGAAAATCGTCCGAAAAACGTAATTAGGCTTTATCTCAGAAACGGTTGATTTCTAAAATCGGTGATTTCGGCTGGGGAGTGGGCTCGATGTGTCAACCAAACCCTGTAAATATGAACTCAATCGGCGGCCCCCCACCTTCTGCATGGTTTTCTCGTGGAATGGCTCTTAAAATATTATTTTAGTGGATTTTATATAAAATGATTAAAATCGTTTTGTGAAACGCATCTATCACAAGTTATGATGGAATTTTAGTTTAAGATGATTTTACGAAGATTTAAGTTTTTGTGAAACAGAGAGAGAGAGAGAGAGAGAGAGAGAGAGAGAGAGAGGTTTAACGTCCACTCAACACAAACTAGGTCATTTCGGGACTAACATATGGTTCCATTTTACTTCAATAATTTGCTTGTGCGTATGGTTCTTTAGCAGTGGGAGGAAACCAGAGGACCCGGAGAAAACTCACGAGGTGACCCTACTCCTTGTCATGTACAACCGGGGAATCGAAACCACGCCAGTTGACTAAATGACACCTGTCATTGGCCTCTTGGCAGGGTTTGAAAATTTGTTACCGAGGTCGGTAACTCACTTACCAGGGTTGTACAGAGGTTTGACAACTGATCATTGATAGTTTGAATATAAAGTTAAATTCCTCCAAAATTCTAAAACAAGATCAATATACCAGAAGAAGTATATACTAGATAAAGCTTATTGTCTAAATAAGCATTTAGCTGAATCGAAGCTGACCCTGATTTCTCATCACCAAATATTCCATTATCTGTAAAGCTGAAATCTGGTTAATCAAATGGTTTTATGACAAACTATGTATGATTGGTGTTGTGTCCTGTATGTCATAGTTGAGAGGAGTGCTAATTGGTAAACCAACAAGCCAACAGTGAAGCTGATGTCCCCCACAAAATCCCAAAATAAATAGATGACACATATTAATTAATCGCACATTTATTTTTTTCAAAAGTATCAAAATCAAACTGTACACTAAGTTTCATCCCTCTCTACCAGATAGAATCAAGATTATCTTGTCCCAAACCATCGACCAATGAAATTGATTAGTTCTGCTTAGCTTCAGCTCGAAATGTTAATCATTGAACTCAGTCATTCACCTAATGAACATCTACATCAAGTCTAAACATTCTACCTCAATGTTTGGTTCTAAAGTCTCGACCAATCAAACTGCTTATCGCTCTGCTTACCCTGAGCAGAAAATGCTTGTTATCGAATTTAGTCAAGGTATTGATGTAATGAAACTATACACTAAGTTTCATCACTCTCACTTAATTAGAACTAAAGTTATAGTGTCCCAAAAGCATCAATCAATTTCCTGCTTTCTTCGAAAGGTGGGGGACAATAAAGTTGTCTATATTACTGGTGGCCATGTTTATAGCACAAATGTTACTTTCACACATTACTTGAGCACAGTCAAGTAACATGTTTAGGTGACTGTGACCAGACAGACTCTTATAACTTTACCATTCAATAAGATAAAGAAATTTATAGAATGCATAGTCCAAGTCATTTTTATCAACAAAAGGTATTTTAGCAGCTATATTAATAAATGAAGACTGACCTTGCTTGACCATTCAACTGGACTGCATCAATTCTTTTTCTTGGTGGATCTGCTATAAATAGATTATACAATAAAAAGAAAAAAGACAAAAGCCAAATGCACAACTTGATCTTAACACCAAGTTAGAATTTTTCCATTTAAAGTTTATAAAAGACAGCCACGCAAAGCATGGAAATATGCCCACACAGCAGTTTATCTGAAGGGAAAACTTGCACATATAGCAGCTTATCCAAAATGAAAATTTGGACACATCTATACCAGAAAGTCTGAGATTGTTGAAAATCAACACTATTAATTCCTTCTGATTCCAATGCTTCACACCAAATTTGAAAATCAATAGGGTTAATCTTCTTATAGTCCTAACGCTTCACACCAGATTTGAAAAGGAAAACTTAAAAATTGAGAAAATTTGATGACTCCGGAACGAAAATTCACAGACTACTTCATATCAATAGGGTTCGTTCTCTCATCACTCAAATGATTCCCACCAAATCATGTTCACAAGGTGTTTGGCAAATTGGGGATAATTCAGTAACGGAAAGTCGGGTTAGACCCCTTATGACTCAAATGCTTCAAACCAAATTTGAAAAAATATGTTAAAAACTGTAGCCTCTATCGTGTTCACAAGGTTTTCAGAAAAGGGGACATAACTCTGTAATAGAAAATCGCAGAATGCTGAATATCGCTAGGGTTAGGGTCCCTCCATCACTCAAATGCAACAAACCAAATTTGAAAAAAATATATAGTAAAAAATCTGTAAATAGGCGAACAGCCTTCCCAGATTTCTCTCAGCTGCTAGTTTCGTTCTTATTCTAACTCTTCAGGCTTAAATGATGATGTGCGGTGGCCCTCTATATATAGTGTCAGTGGGCACCGGAGCACATGTGATGTCACAGATGGACCGGAGTCGATCTTTGGCACCGGAGTCGATTATTCCGAAAAGTGTGCAAAGATATTCCGCTAAGAATTTGCCGTCATGATTATGCTTATTTGCATTGACTCAAGGCTCCTAACCCTTTTGATCTCTAAGTTTAAAGTTTCCTAAACTAACGAGGGCTTAAAAATAACTCTATTAGGTTATGGGCGTGTACGCACTAATTTTCTATTAGCTTTCGCCGTAGGGGTACCACGGCTAAATTAATTGGGAACTCGTCCTTGTTTTTCATATTCGGCCTTGAGTTAGGCTAAGAATTATGCTACTTTTTCGCATACTTTGAAAAGTGGCTCTAGGAAAAGATTTCTTGAATTCAACAAGGAGCTCACGAGGTTGTTTTTGCGTTTTTCGATTGAAACGTAAAAATACCCAGTCTTCTTTACTGATGTTTGATTCTGCCAAATCATCGCGATTCGATGTGCGAGAAACTGGCCAGGCCTCTAGTTCGAGACAAAGATCAACTCCTTCACAAAAAGCCTTCCAGTTACTCATGGTTGGAAAAGGTACAGGACAAGGCGATCTGCCATATTTTGCCTCCGTTGTTTCGGAGACATTGTGCTTCATTTTCGCAGGTAGGAATATTAGTGAACGTCCCTATTGTGACGTCACGGGATACCTCTAAGGTTAATTAATGGCAATGTGCCAGGTATTTTAAGCGGAGTCGATGATACGAGTTCCAAAAATGGGGATGCACACGAGAGAAATAGCTAACGGAATTTTAAGAACGTAGTGCAAAGGGGTCAGTGGGGAAAAAGAGTAAACAATAAAGTGGGGGACCCCTTGGGACTACATCTTATCGTTAATGCCATCCGGTGCTAATGTTCTTAAAGTGTGAATCCATTTGAATTCATTGGCTTTCCTTATGGCAGAATCAAACATCAGTAAAGAAGACTGGGTATTGAGAAACGCAAAAACAACCTCGTGAGCTCCTTGTTGAATTCAAGAAATCTTTTCCTAGAGTCACTTTTCAAAGTATGCGAAATAGTAGCATAATTCTTAGCCTAACTCAAGGCCGAATATGAAAAACAAGGACAAGTTCCCAATTAATTTAGCCGTGGTACCCCTACGGCGAAAGCTAATAAAAAATTAGTGCATACATGCCCATAACCTAATAGAGTTATTTTTAAGCCCTCGTTAGTTTAGGAAACTTTAAACTTAGAGATCAAAAGGGTTAGGAGCCTATTTACAGATTTTTTACTTCAACCCAACTGTGGAGCAACCTATTCCAAGCTATGAATTTTTTAAAATCAGTGATTTCAAACGAGATCCTGGATTCCGAGTCTAACATCACAATAGGGGAAGTTCACCCCGTACCAAAAAGACTCCGGGTAGACTTCAGCTCTGAAAATCAAACCGGAGCAAAGTCCGCCAATCAGAAAGCACTTGTTCTGCCCTTAGCAGTTATACCGGAGCGCAAAACACTCCGAAACTTGAGCAGCAAAATTAGCCGTCTGGGTATTCAAATAGACTACCACCAGGCGTGCCTAAATAAACAAACGATACCGAGACCGTTTAGGCTGAGAATTAACTCCGGCTTTACTAGATACAACAGTATGTTGCTTAGAAATAGACTATGAAAGCCATAGCCAAAATCTTCTCAATTTTAATCATAAAAGAGTCTACCCACACAAAGTAGTGTCGGAAAATAAGAACAGGGCAAATTCTCTAGCCAGAAAAGACCTGTTAAGCCCGACTAAGGCTACCATTTTGAAAAAACGAAAGTTGCTTGTTTCTATCACGGATTATAATGCAACTGCTGTTCAAGTTAGCATGCTCATAAAAGAGAAATGGCATCTATTAACCGGATCGGATATGTGCCGTTCCATCTCAAACATCAAACCAATCACGGCATTTAGGAGGAATCCTAATTTGAAGAATACGCTGATGAAAGCAAGATTCATCTATCCACCACGGGACCCGCAAACCAGCGAAGTCACGGTTCAAAATCTATTCGAAAAATGTATCAAGAAGGACTGTGATATCTGTTACAAATTAGACCAAAATAACTACTTTATTAGTGGTAAAACTGGCAAGAAATATTCCTGCCGCACGGGCTATAATTGTTTAAGTAGAAATATAGTCTACCTATTAACATACTCCTCCAAAAAACAATACGTAGCCTACGTAGGAGAAAGCAAACATTAGACACAACAGGCCAAAGCCGGTCGCACTACACTTCAACTTAGGTAGACATACGAGTAGAAATGTTATGATTAAAATTATAGAGCTTTTTAAGACTGACCCAGATAACGGCAAAAACGATGCCGTAAGGAAAGCCAATGAATTCAAATGGATTCACACTTTAAGAACATTCGCATTGGATGGCATTAACGATAAAATGTAGTCCTGAGGGGTCCCCCACTTTATTGTTTACTCTTGCAAAAAATATGTTAAAAAAGGTAGCCTCTATGGCTTTCACAAAGTTTTCAGCAAAGGGGAGGGGATAAATCAAGAATGAAAGTAGTTGAACACTGAAAATCAATAGGATTCATCTTTCCATGACCCCCAAACTTCCCACTAATTTGTTAAAAACTATACCCTATAGTGGAGAATAACTCTGGAGAGAAAATTTGCGGAACGCTGAAAATCAATAGGGTTCATCCTCTCATGACCCAATGCTATCCACCAAATCTGATAAACATCAGTTAAAAATAGCTTGCCAGGGAATGAAACATTCGCCCAAAGCAGCTAAATCGTCCGAGCAGTTGACAAGGCTTGTCGCATATTTATTCTTTTGTAGGTAATGGGTGCATTTACAAGACACTGATATCAGTTTCATACAGATCAGATGATAACTTTTGTCGATTGAAACAAGGGCCATAACTTTAGATGTTACATACAAAAATTGTTGAAATTCTATAGGTTTCTTTGTTTTACTAATTTAATACAGATTGCATAATGCATATAAATTGAATACAGGTCGGATGATAACTTTAAGCTTTAGAGCGTCTACAACAGGGCTTCCACTTCCAAAATTTTCTCAGCCGGTCATGGAGAAAGTGGTGCTGTAATAAGAAGCCACAAAACAACATGCTACTGAAATGTCAATCAAGTTTAATTGGGTCAAGGACAGTCACACAGAAATTCAATCATTTATACCAACCTCACCCCCATAATAAATAAAGAAACACATGTAATAAATTATGATCATTTATTCATTTATTTATTCATAAAATATAGCAATAACATAAGACACTCATTCATTCATCGCAAGTACACTATTTTTCTACTTTATTTACAACGTCAAATCACCCATATATACTTGTCGGAACTCTGATGGAACTCTTGTGGTATAACATCTTTAAATAGTCGATCTTCGTGTTCAAGTGGTGTTTTATGGTCATGGGAGGCAGCGTGCTCTACTGGGGCTGACTTTCTGAAATTCTGGGAACCAGTCACAAAATTATTATTGGTGTTATGTTTCTGACAAAACGATCTTTTAATTAATCAGTGCATACTGCGTACGTGACGTCACAAGTTAGACTATTTCTCCATACACCAGAAAAAAGTAGTTCCTAATGATTAAATGTAATTAAATGAAAGTTATAAAAATGTACAATAAGCATATCAATATATCGATATTGATATTTGGAGAGCTAAAAAAATATGATGCTAGTATTTTCACTCGATAACATGTAAAAGTATTTGCATATATTTCAAAATGGTGGCGACGTAAAACTTCATTGTGTCAAGCAAAGTAACGTCTATCAATTGTTACATAAAAGAAAAAGATAGTTTGCCAGGCAACAAAACATACGCCCACAGCAGCTAAGTTGTCTGGGCAGTCAACAAGTGTTGTCGAATATATTTTTTCTTTTGTCAGTAATGGTAACATTTACAATACATGAAAATCTGATTATGAGTAATAACCCATGAAGTATTTATCAGAAAACATTAGAATTTGTTCCGATTGTTTGTCTCATGACCTTAAACAATGTGTATTAACTTTGAGCCTCTAGAGCGAATGAATGAATGAAATGGAGTTGTAGCCTCTAGAGCGTCCACAAGATTTTTCAAAGTGATCAAGGGCCGGACTGACGAAACTAAAAACTGTTGACAGGTTGAACTAACCTTTACAATATCAATAGAGTGAGTTTCATATGTTGTAGCAATGTTAG